CCTGTAGTCCCAGCTACTCAAGAGGCTAAGGCAGGAGGATCGCTTGACCCCAGGAGGTTGAGGCTGCAGTGAGCCGTGGTGGCACCACTGCATTCTAGCCTGGCTGACAGAGAGAGACCCTGTCTCAAAATAAAGGAATAAAGTTTGCACCATTTGCTCAACATCTTCCCATATGCCCCACCACACTCCCAGCAACCACCCTTCTACTCTCAGTTTCTAATACTTTATTTTCTGATGATGATGATTATGATGATGACGATGATTATTATTTTTATTATTGAGACGGAGTTTCTCTGTGTTACCCAGGCTGAAGTGCAGTGGCCCGATCTCAACTCACTGCAACCTCTGCTTCCCAAGTGCAAGCCATTCTCCTGGCTCAGCCTCCCGAGTAGCTGGAATTACAGGCATGCACCACCACGTCCGGCTAATTTTTATATTTTTAGTAGAGACAGGGTTTCACCATGTTGACCAGTCTGGTCTTGAACTCCTGGTTTCAAGTGATCCACCCACCTCAGCCACCCAAAGTGTTGGGATTACAGGTGTCACAATGAAAAGAGGTTTTTGGTTTTAATTTCAACTGCTTGTGATAACATAATATTACAATATTCAGTTCATTTTGGTATATTGGCATTGTAATAGACATCTTACTAAATTCACGTAGGCTACTAGTTGTTGAATATTTTATTTTATTTTAGATTCAGGGAGTACATGCGCCATGTTTGTTACAAAGGTATTCTGCATGTTAGTGGAAATCGGGCTTCTAGTATACCCATTACTCAAATAGTTAACATTGTACCCAATGGGTAATTTTTCAATACCCATTTTCCTCCCACCTCCCCCAGTGGAGTCCCCAGCATCTGTTATTTCTATCCTTATGTCCATGTGTACCCACTGTTTAGCTACCACTTATAAGTGAGAGCATGTGGTATTTTTTTTTCTGTTTCTGAGTTAGTTCACTTAGGATAATGGCCTCCAGCTCCATCTATGTTGCTGCAACGGACTAATTTCATTCTTTTTTATGGCTGCATAATATTCCATGGTATGTATTTCACATATTCTTTATCCAGTCAACCACTGGTAGACTCTTAGGTTGGTTCCATGACTTTGCTCTTGTGACTAGTGCTGCAATCAAAATATGAGTGCAGGTGTCTTTTTTATATAACAATTTCTTTTCTTTTGAGTAGATACCGAGCTGGATCAAATGATAGTTCTATTTTTAGTTCTCTGAGAAATCTCCATCTATTTTCCATAGAGGTTAACTGATTTACATCCCCACCAAATTTATTGAATACCTTTTGTAAACAAAATCAAGACTCTATAAATAGGTTTGAGATATTTTCTTTCCTTATTTCACTGGTTAGGGAGCAATCCAATGTTTCATAGAGATGATAGCTGAAGCAGAAAACTTTTAACAATAAATTTTGTTGTAATTATTTTGTAAAATATTTTTCACATCAAGTTTTTTTTTGTTGTTGTTTTGTTTTGATTTTTTTGAGAAAGAGTCTCACTCTGTTACCCAGGCAGGAACTCAGTGGCATGATCCTGGCTCATTGCCACCTCCACTTCCCAGGTTCAAGCGATTCTCGTGCCTCCACCACTGAAGTAGCTAGTATCTGGGTCTACAGGCACGTGCCACCACACCCGGCTAAGTTTTGTGTGTGTGTGTGTGAGTGTGTGTGTGTTGTTTTTTTTTTTAGATGAAGTCTTGCTCTGTTGCCCAGGCTGGAGTACAGTGGCACGATCTTAGCTCACTACAGTCTCCACCTCCCGAGCTCCAGCAACTCTCCCATCTCAGCCACCTGAGTAGCTGGGACTACAGGCACACACCACCATGCTTGGCTGATTTTTGTATTTTTAGCAGAGATGGAGTTTCACCATATTGGTCAGGCTGGTCTTGAAATCCTGACCTCGAGGCCGGGTACGGTGGCTCAAGCCTGTAATCCCAGCACTTTGGGAGGCTGAGACGGGTGGATCATGAGGTCAGGAGATCAAGACCATCCTGGCTAACACGGTGAAACTCTGTCTCTACTAAAAAATACAAAAAAGAAAAAAAAAACTAGCCAGGCGAGGTGGCAGGTGCCTGTAGTCCCAGCTACTCGGGAGGCTGAGGCAGGAGAATGGCGTGAACCCGGGAGGCGGAGCTTGCAGTGAGCTGAGATCTGGCCACTGCACTCCAGCCTAGGCGACAGAGTGAGACTCTGTCTCAAAAAAAAAAAAAAAAAAAGAAATCCTGACCTCAGGTGATCCACCTGCCTCAGCCTCCCAAAGTGTTGAGATTACAGGCGTGAGCCACCATGCCCAGCAAGTTTTGTATTTTTACTAGAGATGGCGCCTCACTATGTTGGCCAGGCTAATCTCGAACTGCTGACCTCAAGTGATCCACCCTCCTCGGCCTCCCACAGTTCTGGGATTACAGGAGTGAGCCACTGTGCCCAGCCAAGGATATTTCCTAATAGTTCTAGTCTATTAAGTGCCTTTTTCAGTAATAAACACTGGCATTTAAACATTTTAAATGCATTCATTGAGATGATTTTATTACATTCTTGTAGCCATATCCTGTTAATGAAGTAAATTTCATTGATTTTTGAATTTTAACCCAAACTTACTGCATTTTAGAAATGAACACCACTTGCAATGTATATATGAGTAGATTTGATTTTCAAACATTTTGTTTTGGATTATTTTAATGTATTTGTAAAATTTTGATATCAGGAAGTGCTGACCTCAGTAACTAAAGTGGGTAGTGCTTCCTCTTATATGCTCTGGGAGAGTTTATGTTAAGTTATAATCATTTCTTTGAATTCATCCATAGAACCATGTAGGCCTAACTTTTTGGTTGATTTGTCTTTAATTATGCCAGTGGTGCAATTAATTACTTATCTCTTTTCTATTTCTAGCTTGCAGTTTTAAAGAATCTACCAGCTGTTGAAAGAAATCCCTAGAGACTCAAGGGACTGAATCATCAAAGTTAAGTCTCTCTGAGATTTATTGCTAAGAATGGCTTTAGATCTAAGAACCATATTTCAGCATGAACCATCCGAGAATAATCTTGGATCAGAAAATTCAGAGTTTCGACGAAGTCAAGGACCTGCTGTTCAGACAGAAGAAGGGATTTCTGAGTTCTCAAGAATGATGCTCAATTCATTTCAAGACAGCAATAATTCATATGCAAGGCAGGAATTGCAAAGACTTTATAGGATCTTTCACTCATGGCTGCAACCAGAAAAGCACAGCAAGGATGAAATTATTTCTCTATTAGTCCTGGAGCAGTTTATGATTGGTGGCCACTGCAATGACAAAGCCAGTGTGAAAGAGAAATGGAAATCAAGTGGCAAAAACCTGGAGAGATTCATGGAAGACCTGACTGATGACATCATAAATCCACCTGCCTTAGTGAGTACAGCATTCTGACTTCTGGGATGAGGGACAAAGGAAAGTAAGAAATAAATCACGGTCAGTTAGAGTTGTCTGGAAGTTAGAGAAGCTATTGGAGGTCCAGTTATTAGTCAGCTCACACTCTCCCACCATTCTCACAAAGAATAATCTTCAATGTCCTAAGTTCTCAAGAAAAAAAGCAAAAAGGTATATATCTTTTTATTCTGTAGGACATATAGGATATTGATGTTTGATTAAGTTAATTTTAGTCTGTATAATGGCAGAGAAATTGACTTTTTTTTTTTTCTGTTGCCCAGGCTGGAGTGCAGTGGCATGATCTCGGCTCACTGCAACCTATGCCTCCCAGGCACAAGCCATTCTCGTGCCTCAGCTTCCAGAGTAGCTGGGATTACAGGCGTGCTCCACCAAGCCCGGCTAATTTTTGTATTTTTTATAGAGACAGGATTTCACCATGTTGGCTGGGCTGGTCTCAAACTCCTGGCCTCAAGTGATCTGCCTGCCTCAGCCTCCCAAAGTGCTAGGATTGCAGGTGTGAGACCGGCCTGAAATTGACATTTAAATGAAGACCTCAAGGTTGAGGAAGAAATGTCTTGACAAGAGCTGGTTCTTCTGTCAGGGAACCCTAATCAAGAAAGACATCCTAAAGAACTATTACAATAGATCCTTATTCTCAGAGCCCATATTTGCAAAATTGCTAAAATTTATTTGTAAGCTTAAAATAAATACCTGAGGCATCTTCTCCATCATTTTCAGATATGTGCGGAGTGGTAAAATATTTGAGTCACCTTAGGTGCATGTTTCCAGGTGAGGTTGAACAAGGCCACAACCTCGCTTCCTATTTTGGTTCCTACGGTGTAAATAAGTGTTCTTTTCACAGTCTATTTAGTGGCACATTTTCACACTTTTATGCTTTTTATTGATAACTTTGTTGTTTAAAGTGAAACTGAAGTAAAATGCTGAAACACTGTGTAGTCTTCCTAAGTGCAAGGAAGTTGCTATGTATTACAGGGATAATACGTGTGTTGGATCCTCTGAGTTCAGACTTAATCAATAAATACATATTAAATGAGGTGTCTTTGAACATATACACACATAAAACAAACTCATGTATTGATCAATTGACAAAAATAATGTGGCCAGAAGCTCACAGGAACTAACCCTGAATTCTTCCTAGGGGAAATGATTCAGTACTTGTAAATTCAATGTCCATGTGACTTTATTAAACATAAGAGCTTGTAGTAACAAGAATAACACCATCAGAGATGGTGGACAAAATATGTGGTAGCCAATACTTGAGGGAGTTTGTGAGAGCCTGTCAAGGGCCACTTTTCCAAAATGTCTTCTGCTACACAACAGATTTAGATACTACAGTGATCTGGCTTTCTTTACAGGTCCATGTCCAAATGCAGGGACAGGAAGCTCTCTTTTCTGACAATATGCCCTTAAAAGATGTCATTGTTCATCTCACAAAACAAGAGTCTGCCAAAACCCCAAGAGAAGCAAACGTGGGGACACCCTTCCAGACTTCCCAAGACACTTCCTCAGAAACAGGACAAGGTAAGTCAGGTAAATCTGCACAGCTGAGGGGTGTTCTATGTGGACCCCTTCTTGAGTACAACTTCAGTGAGTGTCTATTTTCACAGGACATGAAGATGAACAAGATGGCTGCAACAGTTCTTTGAAAACTACTCAAGTAAATGAAAGTAATACTAATCAAGACAATCAAATAGTTTCTCTAATCATCATCCAGGAAAAGAATGGCCCTAGGCCTAAAGAGGGAGGTGTTTCTTCTGACAACCCATACAATTCAAGAAGAACAGAGCTAGTCACTGCTAGATCCCAGGGAAGGTCCACGAACGGAATTATTTTTCAAGGTGTCCCTATGGAGATGGGAGCAGGGTTTATCTCTCAGCCAGAGCAGTCATCCCCTGAGTCTGCCCCTACCCACCAGAGCAATAAGGGGAACTCCACATGCGAGGTACATCAGAAAGGATCCCATGGAGTCCGAAAATCATACAAATGTGAAGAATGCCCCAAGGTCTTTAAGTATCTCTGTCACTTATTAGCTCACCAGAGAAGACACAGGAATGAGAGGCCATTTGTTTGTCCTGAGTGTCAAAAAGGCTTCTTCCAGATATCAGACCTACGTGTGCATCAGATAATTCACACAGGAGAGAAGCCTTTTACATGCAGCATGTGTGAAAAGTCCTTCAGCCACAAAACCAACCTGCGGTCTCATGAGAGAATCCACACAGGAGAAAAGCCTTATACATGTCCCTATTGTAAGAGACGCTACCGCCAGTCATCCACATACCACCGCCATATGAGGACTCATGAGAAAATTACTCCGCCAACTGTTCCCTCCACACCAGAAGCTTCCTAAGCTGCTGGTCTGATAATGTATATAAATATGTATGCAAGTATGTATATTTTCATAGTATTTATCTACTTAGGATATAATTTCCTGATTATGCTTTCAGTTTATTGTCTTGCTTCATTAAAATGTAAGGCTAAGGAGAGCATGGAATTTGTTAGTTTTGTTCACTAAAGTATTCCAAGCAGTTGGGAAAGTGGAATGTTTCTAAGAACCAATAAATTTCTGTTGAATAAATGAATTAATCCATAATGTTGATATCCTTTTTTTAAAAAAAGAGATGGGGCCAGCCACGGTGGCTCATGCCCGTAATCTGAGCACTTTGGGAGGCCAAGGCCAGCAGATCACCTGAGGTCAGGAGTTCGAGACCAGCCTGGCCAACATGGTGAAACCCTTTCTCTACTAAAAATACAAAAATCAGCAGGGCGTGATGGTGCATGGGGCACTTGTAATCCCAACTACTTGGGAGGCTGAGGCAGGAGAATCGTTTGAACCTGGGAGATGGAGGTTGCAGTGAGCTGAGATCGCACCATTGCACTCCAACCTAAGTGAAAAGAGCGAAACTCAGTCTCAAAAAATAAAAATACAAATAAAGAGTTGGGGTCTTGCTCTTTCTTTTCTTTCTTTTTTTCTTTTTTGGACGGAGTTTCACTCTTGTTGCCCAGGCTGGAGTGCAATAGCACGATCTTGGCTCACCACAACCTCCGCCTCCCAGGTTCTAGCAATTCTCCTGCCTCAGCCTCCCGAGTAGCTGGGATTACAGGCATGCGCCACCACACCTGGCTAATTTTGTATTTTTGGTAGAGACAGGGTTTCTCCATGTTGGTTAGGCTGGTCTCAAACTCCCAACCTCAGGTGATCCACCTGCCTTAGCCTCCTAAAGTGCTGGGATTACAGGCGTGGGCCACTGTGTCTGGCCAAGGTCTTGTTCTTTCACCTAGGCCAGAGTGCAGTGGCACCATCTTAGGTCACTGCGGCCGCAAACTCCTAGGCTCACAAGATCCTCCCTGCTCAACCTCCCAATTAGCTGGGACCACAGGAGCACAACACCACACCTGGCTAATTTAAAAAAAAAAATTTTTTTTTTGTAAAGACAGGATCTCACTATGTTGCCCAGACTGGTCTCAAACTATCCTCCCACCATGGCCTCCTAAAGTGCTGGAATTATAGGTGTGAGCCACAGGGCCTGGCATTATTCTTTAAAATCCAGCAATGTGCCCACATGAAAAGGCAATGAGTTCCACATTGAGGACACAAACACCAGCTCACCATGCTCCAGTGAGGCTTTTCCTGACTTCTCTCCTGTCCTTACACCACACCCTTTACCGCTGGTGCAGCCACATGGACCTCAAAATGGGTGGAACAGAGGTGGAAATCTGGAAGCAGGTCTTAGATTATGAAAGCAAACTTGCATATGTAAATGATATTATAATGTTTACAATTTATGAGAAATTAATAGCTAAACTTGACCTGAATATGACTGGTGATTGAAAGTTGCAGATTGCTATTTTATTGGCAGATAGTTACCAGAAAAGTCCTTTTTCCCTGTTAATTTCTTCCAAGATGATGGAGATGTGAGGAAGGGAAGCTTATTTCTAGAACCAGTTTGAAAGGTTAGTTTGGAGAAAAAGAATTCCAGGCAAAGCTGAAATAGCAATGCATATGCTAGTCGATTTTGGGGGATACATGTGTGAGTTGGTTTCCACTAGGTAACTGGGGTTCAATCCAACTGACAAACTAGAAGGTGCCCTGTAGAAACGGCCTAAAGGATGGAAGGGGGGAATTCTGCAGCGTAAATTATGATGCTTCTCTGATTCCACCGCCTTACGAACGGAGAACTGTCGGGCTGCTGCGGATAACGCTGCACTGTGCAGAGAAGCCTGTGCATCCCTCCTCTTTCCTGGACCGTCTCCGGGTATTTTGCTATTGTGAGCAAAATACTTGAACCTGCTTATTGGTCCACAGGAAGGAAAAGTTTTGTTTGCAAAGATCTGCATGAAGCAGGGGAAAACTTTGTCAACGTGGTTTTTCAATCTATTACAGCACCATCAGCAAGGTCAAAACTTAATGTCCATGTCTTCTCCAACACCAGATATGGCTACTGCTTTGGTTTTCTTTTCAGACGGGGTCTGGCTCTGTTGCCGAAGCTGGAGTGCAGTGGTGCCATCAGAGCTCACTGCACCCCCGGCCTCCTGGCCTCAAGGGATCCTACTATCTCAGTTTCCCGAATAGCTGGAGTTATAGGTGAGTCACTACTAATTTTTGTATTTTTTGTAGAGAGAGGCTTTTGCTATGTTGCCCAGGCTGGTCTCCAACTCCTAGGCTCAAGCAATACTCCCGCCAACCTCCCAGCCTCGGCTTCCTGAGCAGCTGGGCCTAAAGGAGTGAGCCATTGAATGCTTTGATTTTAATATCCAAACCCTGAGTACAGTTGATTGGAGTCAGCCGATAGGACAAGGGGGGTAAACAAAGTTCTTTCCCTCCTCACCCCCTGTGTAGAAAATATGTCTGTATTCTGCAGGCTTAATGTGTATCTGACGGTTCTCTCTGACATACCAGCTGCCAGTCTGATTTTACTGGGTGTTTTACGGGTCCTGCAATCACAAACAAAACAATAACCCCTGGCCTCCACCCAGCGCCTCACATCAGCTATCATATCCCTACCCTGTCAGCGATTACAGCCAGCTTTCACTGATACCCAAGGCCTCCCGCTGCTGACTCTTGGCTTAAAGTCCCCGGATGAAAATGTTGGCAGAAAGGCTTCTGGGACTTGTAGTGCATTACGCGGTGCGCATTGCTCTCTGGGAGCTGAAGTAGGTGGTGAGTTCTGCGCAGGGGCATATGGGGACCGCCTGATGAGCCGCATTGTGGAGACAGAAGGCGGTGAATGTGAGTCCCCCCCGACGGGCAGAGGAGGAAAGCTCGGCTGGAAACCGAGGCGACAGGTCCCAGTGGAACGCGGTGACCCAGGACCGCGGTCTCCTGAAACGTCCGTCCGGAGCCAGGCGTTCTAATGGCCTGTGGGAGTTGTAGTCGTCGGCATCCAGTCACACGTTACCTTCTGGGATCTAGTGTCCGCCAGCACTGCGCAGGCTCCTGGACTCCCTGGCGGAGCTTCCTTCGAGCTCAACTGTCCTGGGGCTTCGGAACTCATTCCCGGAGTTTTGTGTATTTGGAATTTCCTCTCTTACCCTGGGAAAGACAGGGCTTCCCTACCAGAGGAAGCAAAAATATCATTGGGCTTTTCATTACAATTGCCATCCTTTATTCTAGCTGGAAGTGGCTTACCCTTTGCAGTAGAGAGTCCATGTTTCTCCTTAGGAGTTGTATTTATATTTCTTTTCTTTTCTTTTTTCTTTCTGAGACGGAGCCTCGCTCTGTCGCCCAGGCTGGAGTGCAGTGGTGCGATCTCGGCTCACTGCAAGCTCTGCCTTCTGGGTTCACGCCATTCTCCTGCCTCAGCCTCCCGAGTAGCTGGGACTACAGGCACCCGCCACCACGCCCAGCCAATTTTTTTGTATTTTTAGTAGAGACAGGATTTCACCGTGTTAGCCAGGCTGGTCTCGATCTTCTGACCTCATGATCTGCCCGCCTCAGCCTCCCAAAGTGCTGGGATTACAGGCGTGAGCCACCACGCCCGGCCGAAGATTTTCTTATTCATTTGTAATCCGTGTAATCCACTTCATCCCAGGCCGCCTCCACTGTCCTGACAGCCCTTCCGAAGTCGAGAGGAGAAGCAGCAACTGAGCTGGAGACTAGGGATGGGCGTGGCTTAACTTCAGACAGCAGGACTTCGGAGAGGAGTCTGGTGGAGATGACCTGGCTTGAGGTAACGATCACCTTCTTCCCGCAGCATCCCCTTTCCCGCTCCCCTTCTGCTGAGAGCTACTTCCACCGCTTAATAAAATCTCCACATTCACTATCCTTCCAGTTGGCCTTTCTGGACACCAGGCAAGAACCGAAGTACCAAGAGGGCAGGGTGTAAAAGGCTGTCACCCTGACTCTCCATTGAGCTGGCTATCACTTAGCCATCCATGGGAGGCAACTGATAGAAGAATATTGTGTTTTTGGCCGGGTGTGGTGGCTCACGCCTGTAATCCCAGCACTTTGGGAGGCAGTGGCAGGCGGATCACGAGGTCAGGAGTTTGAGACCAGCCTGGCCAACACAGTGAAAGCCCGTCTCTACTAAAAATACAAAAATTAGTCAGGTGTGGTGGCATGTGCTTGTAGTCCCAGCTACTCAGGAGGTCGAGGCAGGAGAATCACTTGAACCTGGGTGGCGAAGGTTGCAGTAAGCTGAGACCACACCATTGCACTCCAGCCTGGGTGACAGCATGAGACTCTGTCTCAAAAAAAACCCAACAAAACATTGTTTTTAACACAGGCCCTCCGGGGCTCCAGAGGTTGCGGGCAACCCCTGGATGCTGCTCCAGGCCAGTACAGGGTTCATTCCTGCACCACTCACCAGGCTCCTGCACCCACTCACCTGCATGCTCCCACTCTGGCTAGCAGTTTGAGCTTGGGGTGCTGAGTAAGCAAGCCACACCCCTGTTACATCCTGCAAAGGGGTCAAGGGTCAAGGGCACTCTCCTATCTCATAGAGTCACCCCATCTCTATAATTTCATTCTACTTTACTGTCATCAGAACCTTTAGGGTCATCTGACATTCTCCTGCCCATTTAGCAAGGTCTGTCTTGTTGATGGCTCTGTCTCCAATGCTGAAATATGAGCTCTTGTTCCTGTTAGGCCGCCTCCAGGAATTCTCAAAAGATTTGATCACCTCATGTCAGACATGGCCCTACACCAGCAGACCTGACTTACCACATCTGTGACCTTCCTTGCATTATTCCTTTACTCACTACTTTCAGTTAAGCTGTTCTGAAAATGTCAGCTTCTTTCCCATTTTCCACTCTCTACCCTTGGACTTCCCTCTGCCTGGAGCATTGTCCCCGGTAACTGCAGAGCCTCCAAAAATCCTCTTATTTTGGGGACTCTGCATTGATATTCTCCACTCTCTGGAATGATGTAATCCAAAATGTCCACAAAGTCTGCATCTTTGTCTCTTTCATGTCCCTAAAGTTATTCTCTCAGAGAGACCTCCCTGAGCAAACTATCATAAATTGTAACCACCTGTTTCGTAATATAATCTCGAAAATCAAATTCCAGACCCTGCAAGATATAGAAGAGGTGAGTTCTGTCAAACACTCAATGAAATAATCAAATATATTCCAAATCTTGCAGATAATAGA